TATAGCCCCCATATAACGGTGCCTCCCGATATTCGGTATTTTGATGTTAGCGACATTATTCGCCGGAATTGTTTCAAATTTGGTATATGAAGTTCGAAATGGATACTACAGTCTGTGACAGAAAATTGTCTGTGCAGGTCCACGTCTTCGTGTAGCCCCCATATAACGGTACCTCCCGATATTCGGTATTTTGATGATTTTAGCGAAATTATTAACCGGAATTGTTTCAAATTTGGTATTTGAAGTTCGTAATAAATACTACAGCCTATGATAGAAATTTGTCTGTGTAGGTCCACGTCTTTGTATAGCCCCCATATAACGGTAACCGACATTATTTACCGGAATTGTTTCAAATTTCGTATTTAAAGTTCGTGATGTATTCTACAGCCTATGACAGAAAATTGTCTGTTCAGGTCCACGTCTTCGTATAGCCCTTATATAACGGTACCTCCCGATATATGGGCGGCCTCTGGGAAGCTGCGGTGAAAAGCATTAAAAACATCTTCGAAAACACGCTATAAACACTAAATATACTTTTGAATAGTTCTCTACGGTTATCTCGCGTATAGAAGCTTGTTTAAATTCTCAACCGCTTTGTTCGACGAGTGATAGTGTGGATAGTTATTTAGCTTTAACTCCAGGTCTTTTTTTGGTAGGATCTCCTATTTTATCCCCTCCGGAACCATTAATACAAGAATCTCCATTGCATATAGTCCATCGGTATAGAAAACTTAAGGCGCTTACTCAACAGTTCTGCCTACGGTGGAAAGAGTATTTAAAAAGTCTCCATAAACGCTATAAATGGAAATTTCCGCAGCGCGATATACAAACAGACGATTTAGTTGTAATTCGACAAGGACAATTATATCCAACATCGTGGAAATTAGGTCGGGTAATCAATGTTTTTCCGGCGTTCGTGTCGCCGACGTAAAAACTGAAAATGGCATTGTGCGGCGTCCGGTGGTTAAGGTGGTCGCTTTGACCAATTAGATGTTTGTTTTCTCGCCATTTTTATTTTTTTTCTCGTAGCATTGAAAATCAAAATAAGGTGGGCCCTAGTAGTCAAATCTGTAATTCGCTGGTCAAATCGTTGCGAATGCACTCCATTCCAGTCGGGTCCGACCGGTTTGCCCAATTCACACTGGTTTCGACTCCGCCCAACGATTGTCGGTATCCGCTCGGGTTACAAACCAATCTGCCTAGGAATCGATAAAGGAGCACTACCAAGGTATGATGCTAGCAGATCCGCAATTCTTTAAAGCGTCCCGAGACGCAGTGGCGTTGGGTGCTGAAGTGTACCCTAAAGTAATGAAGACCCAGGTATACTCGAGCCCTGGATTCCCAAGGTCTCAACTTACCATCTTTAGATGGGTCTTGTCGGGTCCATGCCCAATGTGATTTCTTGCTGGGAGACTTTTGCCAGAAGAGCTCGCCCGTGCCGTATGACCGACGGTTAATTAATTTATTGCGCGGCAATGTGCCCCTTGCTCTCCGAGCGCAATATTAAAACAATGAAAAAAAAGAATAATTAAATTGAAATTTGAAGTGTAAATAAGAAAAATTGTAAAATGAATTTATATTTTTGTATACTTAATTTGCATTGCAACATAGCAAGATGTTGCAAGGCTGGCCGCAATGTTTACACTAGAATATAATCATTTTAATGTTCATCCCGTTTTCAAATTTGTAACGGACATTCTTGTACGACTGTGTGATATCTTTGCTACGCAAACAGTTGGGTTTTGGTAAATACATTTGTGGCTTTAGTAGACGAAGCTTTTTAAGCCACGTCCACCACTAGCCAGCCGGTGGAGGAGAGGAGTTTCCCTTTGAAGGTTTCTTCGCCTCAGGATGTGGTTCCTCCGTTGACCGTCCCCTCTTCATCGTTGGACGAGATGAGGGATTGGTCTCCTTTGGTTCCACCGAGGTCGCGGCTGATTCGCGTTCCATCTTCTTTGTTCTTCGTGTCCTGCGCTTCTTTGTTTTTGTATCGGTGGAAGCAGCCTGGGCTTCTGTTGGTGGTGCAACAGCTGGTGCTGTTATTCCAACAACTGGACTTCCACACTCTTCAGAAGGTTTGTCCCCAACTGGAATCGCCTTCTTGACAGGTCGTTTAGGAGAGAGGCAAACTTTGGCTATAGCGGATGATTCTTTTTTGGATTTCCGAATCGCTTTAAGGTTCGCCCTGGTTAGCGTTTTTTTCTCTCTCCGTGACTTGATGACTATGCACGTCGATAGTGAAGCGGCACTGAAAGCTCTAAACTCCTCTAGGATATCACTGGAAAACGCTGGGTTGTCCATTAAGTTCGAATGGGCGAGGCTACGATCCGAATCGACTTCCATTGAAGTTGAGAACTCGGTCAAACCACCCCTGCGTCACTTCCTACAGGTAATTCAAACACTACTCGGAGAGAATTCAACAAAAATGGCTGGACGAAAGGGGATGCAACATCTCCAAAAGAATCTGGCCCACACTCTCGGAGAAGAGAACAACGTCGCTACTGTCATTGTCTAAACCTGACTAAGAACTTGTGGTGGGTATCATCACAGATCACTGCAAGGTGTGGGCAATGACCTCAAAATGAGACAGCGATGACATTGATTACTGTAGAATATGTCAGGACGAAGAAGAAATTGAGACGATCGAACATCCTGTCTGCCACTGTCCAGCACTCATTGACGTGAAACACAGGTTCGTGGGGGAACAAGTGTCACACGATCTGTCTTCGTTTTCTAACACTGACCCTACAGTAATTCTTCAATTAGCCAGAAGATTTAAGTGGCTAAAGACGACACGGCAAGATCTGCCGTGAATCGTCTCATAACTATATATCAAACCACCAACACCTTACTTTTTATACCATCTACCATAGTATGGAGGGTATATTAAGTTTGTCATTCTGTTTGTAAGACCTCGAAATATACATTTTCAAATATAACAGACTGTAAACAACCCGCTTTCTTAAAAAAACCCTTAGTCTAGAGCGCACAACAGGTCTATACTGGCTTAAGTATATGCCCAATAGGGCATGCGGCGAATTGCAACCTAACCTAATAAAGTGTTAGAACGAAGCAGATTCGGTCAGTTATCTTATGGAATAAATAAAACGAATTTATTTATTATAAGTTTACGTCGCATTTAACTGTACAACATACCCAAAAACTTGACCAAATTTATACACCATCAAATTAATGGTGCTTCAATTGATGCAGTCAGTTGTTTTATGAGTAAAATTAATTTATTGCATATTTTATCAACAATTGGCCACAGAATTTTTGCTCTGCTTTCATTTTTATACCTTCCACCATAGTATGGTGGGTATATTAAGTTTGTCATTCCGTTTGTAACACCTCGAAATATACATTTTCAAATATAACAGACTGTAAACAACCCGCCTTCTTCAAAAAACCCTTAGTCTAGAGCGCACAACAGGCCTATACTGGCTTAAGTATATGCCCAACAGGGCATGCGGCGAATTGCTTCGACCCTCTTTTCAACCTAACCTAATAAAGTGTTAGAACGAAGCAGATTCGGTCAGTTATCTTATGGAATAAATAAAACGAAATTATTTATTATAAGTTTACGTCGCATTTAACTGTACAACATACCCAAAAACTTGATCAAATTTATAGACCATCAAATTAATGGTGCTTCAATTGATGCAGTCAGTTGTTTAATGAGTAAAATTAATTTATTGCATATTTTATCAACATAGTCATAGACTTTTTTGCTCTGCTTTCGTTTTTATACCCTCCACCATAGTATGGTGGGTATATAAAGTTTATCATTCCGTTTGTAACACCTCGAAATATACATTTAAGACCCCACAAAGTACATATATTCTTGATCAGCATTAATTTCTATGTCGATTTAGCGATGTCCGTCCGTCTGTAGATATCACTCTAGCTTCCGAACGAAATTAAGTAGATTGATAAAATTTTACTCAAATGTCTGTGTCTGCAGGACTTTTGGTATTGAAAATTGACCATGTAAGTCTACGTTTTGGTATAGCCCCCATATAACGGTGCCTCCCGATATTCGTTTTTTTTTTTTTTTTTTTGATATTAGCGACATTATTCGCCGGAATTGTTTCAAATTTGGTATATGAAGTTCGTAATGTATTTTACAGCCGATGACAGAAAATTGTCTGTGCAGGTCCACGTCTTCGTATAGACACACCCCCCCCCCAATATAACAGTACCCCCGATATTCGGTATTTTAATGATTTTAGCGACAATATTTACCGAAATTATTTATTATTTACAGAAAATTTTCTGTGCATGTCCACGTCTTCGTTTAACCCCCATATAACGGTACCTCTCGATATTCAATATTTTAATGATTTTAGCTACACTATTAACCTTTTCTTTTCAAGTTTCGTATTTGAATGTTGTAATAGCTTATGACAAAAGTTGCCTATGCAGGTACACGTCGTCGTACAGACCTAATATACGACTATATTCCTTATTTTAAAGATTTCTACAGAATTTTATTTTTTTTTAATTGTCGATTTTTTTCCAAATGGTGGAGGTTATTCAAAGTTCGTCCCGGCAGAACTTACAGCTTTTTTACTTGTTTCCCCTATTCTTTATTTCTGCCAATTTTTTATTAGGATGAACACAATGGACCAGCAAGTCTCCGAGCGGAGCGGTTACCAAAAAGGCAACCACGAGCCCTTTAACCTAACCTAACCTTCATATGCATTCAACAATGCACTCCAAGTATCTTTTGCGGTAGTTGCAGCTGCAATGTGCCCTTAATTGTATGGTTCAATCATCAATGTAATCCTGGCCATTAAAATCAGCATCTGCCACATTATCAACAGGCCATCCAGCATCCTTTAATAACAAGATATGATTGCGCTTGCCTCTTCCAAACGTCGAAGTTGTAGCGTCCACGCATTCTTTAAAATAGATTCCAACTGACATTGAAAAACATTTTATTTAGATGGTTCCTGTTTTCAAATTTTTGAACAGAAAATATACACATTGTCAAAAAATGGGCTTATTTAAAATTTATTCTAAATATCTTTTTTATTTACTTCAATCAATCAATGAAATAAATAAATTTATCTTTCTGTTGCAGTTCATAAAACATCTGCCAATGGAACACCAAATCCAAATGTTTGTTTAATACTATGCCAGTAGTATCGATTCCAATTTGTCTTCATAGCATCATATTCTGACGCAGGAATTCCTGTTTGCTTCAGTTTCATCTGGGTACAATTTTTCTGAAAACGAAAATTTTAAAGAAACACTAAAAATTAGTACTTGCAAAAATACAATAGCAAACTAATTATATTCGATAATATTTCTGGATAATGGTATAATAAATGTTTTGTGGATTTAGACATTTTTTATACAATGTTTACTCTTTCATGCACAACTAGCGTGTGTGTTGGGCAACCTGTGCACCCTATTTAAATATGTCATAAAGTAATTACTAAACGCCTCATACTTATACAAATTCAAATATATATAATAAGTAAATAAGTAAATTTGCCAATTGTTCAGAAAATTCTATTTTGGTTTTGAGATAAAGTTTGTGTGAAACTACCCCGATAAAAAAATGTGTCCATCCCATAAGAACCTATTCATTTACTGTACAGCAAGATAGATAACTTGAAATTTCGAACATTTATAGAGCAACATATACTTACTTGCTTACTTACTAATTGATGTGCGTGAAAATAAATTTAAATTTAAATTGCGCTACTTTGATTATTCGTTTACCAACACTGGTTTTCTCTCAGAGATAAATTTAAATTTAACTCAAAACTGCTTGTTATGAAAACAAAATAAAAGTTACAATAATGAAAATTATATAATAATAAAAATGTTATATGGATTTAATAAAAAAGGCATAATTGCTTGAATTTTGTTCCAATATCGAATTTTGGAAAGAGCATCGATAAGGCTCCTAGAACACTTATTTTGATAAACCAAACCCATCTGGAAATCCCACAGTGGCCAGACTTATATTTCATGTGGTCCTCTTAGGTGAAATTGGTTTGGGCCCACTGTGGGAAAATGGTTAGGGATGCACCTTTATGGTGTTCATTTTCGGAAAGAGCATCGAAAATGCTCCTAGACCACTTATTTTCATAATCCAAACCCATCTGGAAATCTCACATTGGCCAGATTTATATTTCATATGGTCACTGTAGGAGATATTGGTTTGGACCCACTGTGGGAAAATGGTTAGGGATGCACCACTATGGTGTTCATTTTCGAAAGAGCGTCGAAAATGCTCCCAGACCACTTATTCTCATAATCCAAATCCATCTGGAAATCCCACAGTGGCCAGTCTTATATTTCATATGGTCACTGTAGGAGAAATTGGTTTGGGCCCACTGTGGGAAAATGGTTAGGGATGCACCTTTATGGTGTTCATTTTCGGAAAGAGTATCTAAAATGCTCCTAGACCACTTTATGAAAATAGTGTTGTTGATCTCACTATTTTTTGATATTTTTTCTTATTTTTCTTGGGCCAAGTGAATTGTTAATATAACAAATTTTGCCTTTATTTTTGCCTTATTATAAATTTATTTTATTGTATTTATTCTTATTTTATTGTTTTCTATGATTTTTCTAACTTCTATAATTATGCTCCCCAGCCTTTTTTTTTTTTTTTTTTTGATTTCTTTGTCCCTTGATGGGAATCTCGGACCCGTGATCAGGGATGCTCAATTTTTCAGGCATGTCTCTTCTTGCTTCCATGGTAAACTTACGTATGGTCACTTGAATTGTCAAAGTTTGCGACCATCTAGATATAATCATAAGGTTGATGAGTTGAAATGTCTGCTTGTTGGTAGTGATATTGATGTTTTTGCAGTGACTGAGTCTTGGCTTAACCCTGCAGTTTCTTCGAGGTCGTTGATGGTTCCGGGGTACAAGGTTCTGCGTAATGACCGTGTTGGCCGCGTTGGTGGAGGTGTAATGCTATATGTACGTGATAATTTGTCATATAAGATGGTTTACCGATCGGAGAATTATGGTGTGTGTGAATCTTTGTCTGCTGAGCTTTTCCTGGGCGGCACTACAGTGCTCTTTACTGTCGTCTACTTACCTCGTGGGGATGTAGACACATTTAGTCTTATCCATGAGGGTATTTTTGATTCATATGCGAACATTGTTGTCTGTGGCGATTTTAACTATAATTTGTTTAAACCGTTGAATTCTTTATCAATGCGAAGACTGTGCAGATCTCTTGGGCTTTCTGTTGTACACAATTCCAGTCCCACTCATCTTGATGTTGCTCGTAGCACTACCTCATTAATTGACTTTTGCCTGGTCTCTGATGCCTTGACTGTGAATTTTTCCTCGCAGGGGCAGTGCCCTGGTATTTCCCACCATGCATTAATTTTTGGAGGGGTTGAATTCCCGGTTCTTGCTGAAAAAAGGTTATTGAGTTCCTGGATTTTCGTAGGACTGACTGGCGGGGTGTGGAAGATTATGTTTGCAATTTTGATTTTAGTCTTCTGTATCTTACAAGTGATGTTGACCAACAGTTGGCTTTGTTCGATTTGTTGTTTCAAAATTTGTTGTCTTTTGTACCTACTGCTACCAGCTGTTCTCGCCCAAAAAAGGATGCTTGGTTGGGGTTGGATGTGGTAAAGTCGGCCTGTTACGTTAGGGATCAGGCTTATCTGGAGTGGCGTAGGCGTCCTACGGTTCGCAACAGGCAGATATTTTGTATGTATAGAAACCGATGTAAGGCTGTCATGCGTAATGAAAGAAGGAAATTTTATGAGGAAATGTTTGGTCGTATGAGTAGTATGCAGATATGGAAGTCGTTAAAGTCGTTTGGTTGTCTTGATGATGGTTGTGATGTACCATTTATTGATGTCAATGCTGTTAATAATTACTTTTGTAGTGTTGGCAATTTAGGTTCGTCTCGTGATTTTGTTGTTAGTGTGGCCAATGATTTTAATTCTTTTAGATTTGACTGTGTGTACATGGATGATTTTTTGCTGTAGGTGTTGATGGCATACCTATTAAGTTCTTCAAATGCGTATTCCCTTACATTTGTAGTCACTTTCTGCATTTTGTAAATTGTATTTTTATGACGTCAACCTTTCCACTTGCTTGGAAGGTTGCTCGTGTGGTGCCTGTGCCGAAGAAGGGGAGTTCTTATCATCAGACGAATCTTCGACCAATAAGCATTCTGCCGGCTATGTCGAAATTGGTTGAACATGTTATTAAGGATGCGATTGTTGATTTTCTGGATGACCGTAAGTATTTGAGTAGTTCCCAGTTTGGGTTTCGGCGTGGTTCTAGCACCACGGTTCATCTTTTAGCCCTCACTGATCTCATTCGTGACGTGTTCAATAGTTCTGATGTTGGTTTGCTTGTTGGCCTTGATTTGTCTAAGGCCTTTGATTCTGTGGATCATACGCTTCTGCTCTGTAAGCTGAGAGACAAGTTTTGTTTCTCTCCTTCTTCGTGTAGATTGATATCGTCGTATTTGAGTGGAAGATCTCAGTTTGTTGTGCACAGGGGTGTTTAGTCTGATGTTTGTGCTGTGCGGTGTGGTGTCCCACAAGGATCTGTGCTTGGCCCTCTGCTTTTTATTATGTTCATTAATGACATTGTGGGGTCTGTGTCTAATTCCAGTTGTGAAGTTTTCATGTATGCGGATGACATTCATGTCTTCTTTAGAAGTGCAGATCTCTTTGAGTTGGAAAATGTGGCAAACACTACTTTGAGATTGCTTTCTATGTGGATCTCCTCTAATGGTTTGTCTGTAAATTGGAATAAAACAGAAGCTGTTCTGTTTAATAGTCCTCGTTATGTTCCTACGCCGTGCATCTGTGTTGGCTCCTTTGTGGTTAATGTTGTGGATGAGATGAGATGTTTAGGTGTAGTCATTGACACCAAACTTAGTTTTTCAGCGTATGTTGATTCGTTGATGTCTCGTGTGCGTTTTCAGATGCTAGCCTCCGCATCTGAAAACGCAAACGAGACAGCAATAGTCTTCAAGCTCATTTGCCTCTTAGTGTTAGGATGATGGCTGCCAGATCTTTATTAATGTCTCATGTCAACTATTGTTTGGAAGTCATCTCTGGGGCGAATGCTTCCCTAATTCTTCACGTACGCAAACTTGTTAACTCTATTGTTAGATATGTGTTTGGGTTGCGCCGTAGTGATCGTGTAACACAGTATGTTATTAAGTTTCTTGGACTGTCATTTGACAGATATGTTGAATATCGCCTTCTTTTGTGTCATTACCGAATTATGAGGAATGTTAATTCTCCTTTGTATAAGTTTGTGTTTTGTAGATCATCTCGAAATTTGCAATTGCTGTTTCCAAGATTTTCGTCTGTAGTTGGTGAGAAGGCGTTTGTTGTGAGAGTTGCGAGATTGTGGAATCAGCTCCCTCTGACCCTGCGTAATTTTACCTGTTATTTTGATATGTACAAGAAGAGGTGTTTTGAATATTTGTCTGTTCATTGAGTTTCTGGTTGAGGGTTATTTTTTGTTATTTTTTTTTAGTTGTTGGCTGGGGCCCATTTTTATGGTTGTTTATTTTCCATGTAGTACATAATTTTATTGTATTTTTTCTTTTTTAAGGATTTTTTTGCTATACTTGTAGTAGCTACATTCGCTCGGTTTGAAACGAGTGATGATTAGCGCTTAAGTGTATTGATGCCTCTTGCCTTTTTCCTCTCTACCTTGCTAAACTGTTGTTCAGCTTGGTAGAGGAGTTTTGTCTGAGGGTCTAATTGCTAAATTGCTATTAAATTTAAATTATTATTATTATTTTTTGTACATATTTTACTATTCGTTGATAGTTTTTGTTATTTATTTAGTTTTTTTTAGATTAATTTGGTTATAGACTGTTTTTATACTGTTGTATGTTAATATAAGATTTTGGCCATGTTGGCTTATTTATATTGAATTGTATGAAATTATCGAAATATTCAATGAAGACGAAAAAATTAAGTCTAACAACCTGTCTTTAACATTTAACACATGATTTACTTGGTACAGACAAAGCTCAAATATCTTATCCCAAAAGTTATCAAAACCTGTTGGGTAAGTCAGAGGTATGTAATCTAGAATATTGTCACCTGAGGTCCAAGATACCCAAGGAAGGTTAAAATCCCCTAAACAAATTAATGCAGAATTATCTGTAAGCAATGAAGACACCTTTGCAAATAAATCTGCATGGTTAAAATAAATTTCAAGTTCAGAATTAGGTGAAATATATGAACTCGTTAAGAAAATAGTATTACCAATGATGTTTAATTTTGCGCAGATAAATTCAATATTAGGATCCGCTGAGACATCAATCATTTCTGAAGGAATCAAATTTTGAACTGCTATTAGAACTCGTCCACCTTTTTTTTAATAATCTATCTTTTCTGTCGACTTGATAATTATGAGAATAACTCAGTGTCCAGGATATCAGGCTTTAACCACGTTTCAGTGAAATCAATTATTTTATGTTCAGAAAAAGAAACTTTTAAGGAAAACATCTCTAAGCTTAGTGTTCAATCCTCTTACATTTTGATAAAGGATCGGACAGACGTCATTTAGTTTTTTGGCGCAGTTACGATGTTTACAGACTTATCTACATTGGAGCGTTCTCTAAAAACAAATTATTTTACCAATATATCATCGGACCAAAATGAACTACTAACAACAGTGTTAAAAAGTCTATTAAGAACTGTTATTTTAAACGACATAATGTCCCGCTCCTGAGACGAGTTAAATTTAAAGATGTTTAAATCATTATTGCTTATGTCACGTAACTTAGATTTCATATAATTACAGATATTAACGATAGAAGTTTCAGGATGAAGTCTGGATATAAATACTGTTTTGCGACGTGCGACAACAACAAGCTGATTAGAAGTTGATGGATCATCAACATTTACAGCAGCCGAAGGGTTTGGAGGAATTAAATTTGGAGCTTGCACCACAATTACAGGTGGGTTAGAAAATGCTCTTTTGGTAGTCGTACAATTCGAGATTGAGGTTGTAGCGTTGGAAGTAACATCCGATTCTTTACGACTATCATGACAAACTAGTTTTTTACTATTAGGAGGAGGATTTGACGAAATCGGAGAATTTAAGCTGATTAAATTATCGAGACCTAAATTGTTTGTTTCCATATTGTTAACAACAGCTGAAGCTTTTTTTCCTCTTTGGAGAACCATCAGATAATTCAAACCTGTTAACCAATTTTTCAATTTTTTCAAATTTTTTAAAAGTTAAATTAAAACATTTTTTTAACTTATCGATTTTAGCCTTAGTTTCTTTATAAAGGCTATGATAATCAACTTGAAGATCTCTACAATCAAAACAAGACCAACGTAGACCTTTAGTCTTGTCAGTAATAAAAACATAGTCAGGGCTGTCACAGAAACCATGTCGGTTTTGCTTATTGTCGTTTTTGTAAACCAATGTTGGTTTCATTTGGTGTCATGAAACCAAGTTGGTTTTGTCAATTTCGAATGTAAATAAAACCAATGTTCGAAACAGCTGTTGTTGCTTACATGTGTTGTTTGTTTATTTGTCATTGAAATATCAGTTAAAGTAAAGAAAATAAAAAAAGGAATAAGTCGCTATAAATAAAGTAAAATGGCATCAGCAGTGGTACTCTTTGTGTTGTTGGACGAAGAACGCTCAGAGAAAAGCTCTTAGAGATTTCAGCAACCCACTGGAGTTACCGGAGATAGCGTAAGTAATTTTTTTTATTGTAAACTTACTCATAAAGCTGCTTTCTAGATTTATGGTTTATGGTCCTTTGAAAATTCTTTAAAAAATCCACGTTTATGGTCCTTTAAAAATTCTTTAAAAAATCCACGTTTATGGTCCTTTAAAAATTCTTTAAAAAATCCACGTTTATGGTCCTTTAAAAATTCTTTAAAAAATCCTCGTTTATGGTCCTTTAAAAATTCTTTAAAAAATCCACGTTTATGGTCCTTTAAAAATTCTTTAAAAAATCCGCGTTTATGGTCCTTTAAATATCCTTTAAAAATTCTTTAAAAAATCCACGTTTATAGTCCTTTAAAAAATCCACGTTTATAGTCCTTTAAAAAATCCACGTTTATAGTCCTTTAAAAAATCCACGTTTATAGTCCTTTAAAAAATCCAAGTTTATAGTCCTTTAAAAAATCCACGTCTATAGTCCTTTAAAAAATCCACGTTTATAGTCCTTTAAAAAATCCACGTCTATAGTCCTTTAAAAATTCTTTAAAAAATCCACGTCAATAGTCCTTTAAAAATTCTTTAAAAAATCCACATCAATAGTCCTTTAAAAGTCTTTAAAAAATCCACGTCAATAGTCCTTTAAAAATTCTTTAAAAAATCCAAGTCTATAGTCCTTTAAAAATTTGTTAAAAAATCCACGTCTATAGTCCTTTAAAAATTTGTTAAAAAATCCACGTCTATAGTCCTTTAAAAATTCTTTAAAAAATCCAAGTCTATAGTCCTTTAAAAATTCTTAAAAAAATCCACGTCTATAGTCCTTTAAAAATTTGTTAAAAAATCCACGTCTATAGTCCTTTAAAAATTCTTTAAAAAATCCACGTCTATAGTCCTTTAAAAATTCTTTAAAAAATCCACGTCTATAGTCCTTTAAAAATTCTTTAAAAAAATCCACGTCTATAGTCCTTTAAAAATTCTTTAAAAAATCCACATTTGTTGTCCTTTAAATGTCCTTTAAAAATTCTTTAAAAAATCCAAGTTTCTAGTCCTTTAAAAATTGTTTAAAAAATCCAAAGCAAATGAAAAGTGACAGCTCTAAGCAACTTGGTTTATTTCCAATAACAAAACCAATAACTTTGGCTTCTATGACAACCAAAACCGATAAAATTCTAATTCGAAAATAAAACCGATAACATTGATTTTCATGACACCAAATCATTTTTTCTTGTCGTTTTTAAAACCAATAGTGACAAAATTGGTTTCTATGACAGCCCTGAGTGTCTACCATTAAAACCAGCACATTTAAGATGCATAAAATTATCGCAAATAAACCAAGAAATAAGACGCTCATTGATGTCTCTAACTGAAGTCTTTGAAAGAGCAAGCCATTTTTTGTAAAATAACAAATTAGATGAAAATACCACTTAATAATTTTTTATAAAATTGTGTAATGTGAACACGGTGAAATAATCAATATACTATTAGTGCCTAAAAGTATGCTAAAAATCTATTATTACGTACAGAACTGCTAAAGGGGAATCAGCTACAAACGACAAAACAAACAAAAACACGACGAAAATAAAACAAAACACAGATGTTTTACGCAGAAAATATTTAATAAACTTATTAAGCAAGAAAAAACACTTTATTCAGAAAAACTTCACATTTTTGGAAAAAAGATAAATAGTGTTAATTTAAGTATCACAATTTGACACTTTTATTGACGCTTTAAACACAAAAAAAGTATTTTTATTTCGTAAGACGAACACACAGAAAAGAAACACTTTCAATAGAGCAGAGTTGTTTTATATCCAAAAAGGAATACAGTTCTTTTCTTCCATTTCTATTGTAAAATTTAGTTTAGTACGATAATTATTAACTGCCTCTAAAATTGTTGAAGAAATTGAATTCGAAAATAAAACTAAAAAAAACATAACAATGTATAATAAGCTTGTCGAGAAATTGTATGGAACGAATCCGATCCGATGATACAGTCTATATCGAAACGTGGACCCAAATAAAACATGTATGTCACGTATGTATGATCAAGCAGGGCATAACATGTCACCACTTTTGTATTCTATTTATGAGACATTATGAGACTTTGTCTAACAGCTTTATATTTCTTTTTTTTCATTTTGTTTATTGTTGTGAAGCATACAATTTTGAAGGCTATATTTAGTATTTAGTGGAAAAGAAATAAAATCGTTAAATTCAATAATTAATTAAAGCGATAATTGATAGAATGGTTGAAGAAAAGATCGAGTAATCGAAAATATAAACAGGAACTTTGCATAAAAAATTGAAATTGTGGGGGGCCAAAAAACATTTGTCGTAAAAGTCGAGATTTTAATTTTTTTTGGAGCACAAAAACATGTTTTTTGTAACAGTGGTGTATTTTGTGTTGTTTATAGACTGCAAAACTAGTTCTGCTTCCATGTTCTGGTTTAGGAAGCCATCTATAGACAAAAATTCCCTGGAGGGAGTTTTATATTTTTGATAAGCCAATTTAAATTTATCCGCAAAAAATAAGGCTTTATACATTTTCTATAAAAGGGGACAACATTAAGACTATTTGGAAATACATGTTTACCTAATCCTATACACATTTTTACTATAACTTACCATTTCAGTCAAATCGATTTCAACGTTTGAATAGTGACCAGATGGCCAAGACTTAAGCCGCCATCGAAGTACTATCTTCTTTTCAGGTATAAGTTCGTCAAAAACTCCATGTACATTACCACCATAAAGATGAAACCTAGAAGTCAATCAAAAAATATGTATATTTGATCTGTTATATATATATATATATATATGTTAAAGATATATATAAAACGGAATAAAGAAAAGAATACACCTAAGTCTGTTTTTACACGGTCTTTTTTTTTTCGGACGTTCCCACGCCTCACATTCCCACCCCTGCCGACCGAGGGGGCGAACTCCCTTTACGGAGGGATCGCGTACACATCATGATCCGCATCATAATGGGAATTCAGTAGGAAATTGAAAACCAGCTACAGAATCTAATTCATCAGCTAGTTTGTCAAATAATAAAACATGTATGTTAATTGTTTAAAAATAAAATTATTCTAGATTTAATAACTTCTAAACTCATACAAAAATCTACATTACAATACACAGAATTAAAGTCAACACACATTTTACTAAGAGGTTCGCCCATTGAATAATTCGTGCGGTGAAAATCAGTATATAATAATTGGTAGTATCTACTAGATCTAAACGGGACATTAATTCTAATAGATGAGATTAGGAAATCTGAAGGTATATTACCATTTAATATTTTTAGTACAAACATGGAGTTCAACATAATACGTCTACTTTTAAGTGTAGGCAATCTAATTAATTTTAGCCTGCTAGCATAAGAAGGCAAAACAAAATCACTATTCCAATGTAAACCTCGTAAGGCAAATAGCAGAAATTGTTTTTGCACGGATTCTATTTTATCTGAGTATATTGCATATTGAGGATCCCATACAACAGAACCCTATTCCAATATAGGTCTAACAAGAGACGTAAATAACTGTTTTATTATATATGGATCAGAAAATTCTTTGGCCCACCGTTTAACAAAACCTAAAACACCATTTGCTTTATTTACCATTGTTATTACATGGCTATTAAAATTTAATTTTAGATCCATCAAGAGCCCTAGATCCACAAATGAATCTACAGTTGATAATGAATGACCGTCAATATTATATTGTAATATCAGAGAAGAAGATCTGGAGAAGCACATTTGCTTAAATTTAACTCCATACAGTTTAACTTGCACCATTTAAAAAGGCTATCTAAATCGTTTTGAAGTAAACTGGCTCGTTTATCACAATTATGGGAAATGAATAATTTAACATCATCTGCGTACATTAACAATTTCGAGTAATTTATGGAATTAGGTAAATCGTTGATAAATAAAAGAAAGAGGACCGGTCCAAGGTGACTTCCTTGCGGAACACCCGATGGAACGTTAATCGTTTTGGATAGATACCCTTCAAACAAAACTAGTTGTGATCTATCTTTTAAGTAAGATGATATCCATTTGACTAAGTTTGTGTTGAAACCCATATAATTTAATTTATATATTAGGAGTTCATGGTTAGCCCTATCAAAAGCTTTACTAAAATCAGTATAAATTGTATCAGTTTGTTTACGCTGAACAAATCCTTTTATTACTGTTGACGTAAATTGTATAAGATTTGTTGTAGTTGAAAGACCACTACGAAAACCATGCTGATATGGACTCAATATAGATTGAATTTTCTGTGAAATTACTGCAGTAATTAATTTTTCAAACAATTTTGGTATGGCACTTAATTTTGCAATTCCTCTATAATTTGACACATTAGTAAGACTACCAGACTTATGTAAAGGTATAATATAAGATTTTTTCCAGAAAGTAGGAAAGTGACCAAATTTCAGTGAATAATTAAACAATATAGTTAACGGAAATGCTAATGTTTCTGAACAATATTTAAGAATTATATTAGGTATGCCATCCGGTCCTGGACATTTAATCGATTTTAAACTACACAGACTATTGTACACATCTTGACGTTGTAGAAAAGGCATACAAATTTGATCAGCCTGTGATAACTTATAAGGATACGAATCTTTAATTTGGCAAGATGTACTGGAATAGGTTGTGGCAAAAAAATCTGCGAAACATTCAGCAATATCTGTGCCTGTGACAAATTCTTTATTGTTATATTTCAATACTGAGGGCTTTGAGGAAACTTTTCGTTTTAGATTAACAAAATCATAAAAAGATTTAGGATTGGATTTAAAATTATTTTTAATCTTGTCTAGGTAAAGATTATACAATCTACGAGACTCTAAAGTATATTTAGATCTAGCAACAGAGTAATTAGTGTAGTCTATTGTTAAGCCTGATTTTTTATATTTACGAAAAAGTTTATTTTTAGAGTTTTTTTAACTTGATAACTCAGAGGTTATCCATGGATATTTATTTGAATTTTTAACTCTAGTGGTTGGAACACATTCCAGTTTAAATCTATTTAAAATATCATAAAATTTATCAATTACATATTCTAAATCTTTATGGCTGTTACACAGGCACACAGAAGCCCAATTTACAGAGGAAATGAGGGTATTAAATTTTCGAAAATTAGTTTTTTTGTAATTAAGGACAGTTTTAAATGAGTCGGACTGACTTTCTTCAATTACATAACTGTGAGTCATGGAGATATATAAAGTTGGATGCTATATATCTTCAGGAGTGCATATTGGAGGAATTCTGAATATATCAAAATGCTGTGTTATATTTACAAACGCCAAATCAAGAATTTTGCCGAGGGAATTTTTCACACTGTTTATTTGATAAAGATTTAAGTCACACAAACTATTTATAACATCAAATGTATACTGGGTACTGTTCATTTCGGATGGCAAAGGAATCAAAGCTTCAGAATCTGGCATTGGAAGCCACCTAATGGAGGGCATATTAAAATCACCAAGGATCAGAATGCGATCAGAATCTTTCATTTTTTCAGTGATTAAATTTATTGCTGATAAATGCTGATTATAAATGTCAAGTGAAGATGAAGGGGGAATATAAGAGCAAGTTACAAACAATTTAGATATGCCCAATTCAATGGAAACACCAACAAATTCTATATCAAGAAAATCATTTAGATCAATTAAATTAGTGGTATATTTGGTATCAACTGCAATACTACAAACACGATCTTTTCTAAATATTTGATATTTTGAACATAAAATTTCACTATTTAATATAGATGTTTTTAACCAAGTTTCGGAGAAAACCAATACATTATAATTGAAACCAATGCTATCAGTATATAAACTGGTTAATTTTGTATTAAGCCCCCTTACATTCTGAAAGCAAATAGAAAATGAGTCATTTAGTTTTTTGGCACCGAATCTGGTCTAAGAGGCAAATGAGCTAAATTATCGGATCTCTCCACAAATTCTTTAATAAATGCCCTAGCAGGCCAAAATTCTTTTAAAATCAACTGTACAAAAATATTTTCAGGCACAACGATTTTGAAAGAAGATCTACTTTCAGAAAATGCAGATCGGAGCTTGTAGCATCTCAAAAAGTAATCTCCCTCAATTTTTGATTGAGGCGCAAACCTTGTTGCAAATATCATTTTCATGGCGGGAGCCATAGATAATGATCTTTGGACAGGTTGAGTTTTGCCAGTAGCAGTCACGGGACGATCACTAGTGATAAGTGAAGGAAGTGATAATTCCTGTATGTTACGAGTAGATTGGGAGGTTTTCTTAGAAACCTCACTATCAATACTCATGACTTCAGGATTATTAACCCCTTTACCTATACCGCTGTTATCTACCGGAACTGGGTGTGTAACAGCACTGGCATACGACTGTTCACGTCCAGTCTCAGTTGTTTCAGTGATATTAACTGAAACCGGTTGTGGAACAGTGTTCTCCACAGAAACTAGGCATTCCCTTAGTTGGTGCCTTTTTCGCAACCCTTTTGCGTTTCTGGCCAGAAACTGACGGTGAGGACACAAACTCATCTAAATCTTGGTATTTCTCAAACAATGTAGAGAAATTCTCGAATCGGAGTGATAGTGAGGAAAAATCTTTTTTCATCGATGTCAATTCCGACTGCAAATCCTTTACAAAATTATAAAAGTCTGCAGAGAGTTTCCTACATTGCACACAACACCAACGAACACCAACATTATTTCTAATTGTGTCTACAACTTTTGCATTAATCCTAGCACATTTTGCATGCCATTGATTAAGACAAAACCAACAGGTAACACACAATTCATCCTCTGCAACAGTATTACATAATTTAAAAGGGCACGACATTTTTTATTTTAATTATTATTTTTTTAATTATAATTATTTCTTTTTTAATACAAGTTACAGCTATATTTTTCAAGATTAGATCTGTAGCTGGAATTTTTTATTTATTTATTTATTTTATTCTTTTTTAAATTCTTTTTTAAATGTTGGCAACTCTTATGAGATGACAAACAAGACGATATGTTACAACAACTAATTAGCTAATGTAACAAAAGAAAGAGGATAAAAGGAGAATGTATAACTACACAATTTGAAAATTGATATTTCTTTAAAAGACAAAACAAAATTTTAAAACACTACACCAATTATCACTTTGAGTTACAAAATCACTATTGAACACTTTAATACACCTTTTTACCAGATTAATTAATTTAATAAAACATATAACTTAATTTTTTTTCAAAAGCACGGAGCATCACAATTTTTTGACACTAATCACAACAGGGTTGCCAACTGAACTGTTTTGATATAACACGGTTTGAAAATTGAATATTTTTAATTTTTTTACACGATTTTATTCCATTTAGCACGATTTGAAATGTTATGTACTTAAATATATTGTATTTATTCAGTTATTTATGTTTTTTAATTTTGTTAAATATTTTATGTATCCCTAAAAGGAAATGTCAGATAAAAAACTAAAAGAGAAGGCAATTTCTTTGGAAACCAAGATTAAAATTTTAGTAAGTCTGTTTTTACACGGTAGATTGGTTTCAGAAGAAGCCGTATATATATAAATATTTATATATATATATATATATATATATATATATATATATATAGGTAGGATTGGCAGGACAGATGAATTGTAGACTGCCCTGCCCGGCAAGCGCCGTGAGCACCTTGTTCCTACTTTTCAATTTATGGCAGATATCTGTGGCTTGCGCGGACGACTTGAACTTGCTGTCGAAAGTGACC